CTACTGCTACTGCTACTGCTGCTGTCGCTCATGATGCTGCGCAATGATAATAGCCACGGTGGACAGCCTCATGCTGGTTGTTCATGTCGCTGAATGGATTTATCACATTGTATCACAGACTTCTCGGGGGTTTGCAAGCAATTAAGGTGCCCGTCGTGAGCGAATTCGCGCAGAGCGGCGTGAGGAGGTCGGCGACTTCTTGCAGAGGCACGGTGTATGCACGCTGTGCAACTCCGTAGGACTGATTGCCAAGTTCGTTGTTGCTGCACAGCTGTTGCACTGATTACGGGGTCAGACTGATATGATACGAACTACTCTGGTGCGTCTTGGTCCCGGAAAGCTATGAAGCAGTACAGACTGGAGTCTGTGCAGCGGGAAACTTCAATGCAAGTTGGGCCCATGTCGGAGCTCTCAAAACCAGAAGTATCATCTCTCCGTCATGCAGACAACTCCCTCCCGACAAGCTGTAAGTTTCATTGGCACAACATCTCTTATCATGGTACTCCGCCGTTGCATGTTGTTAATCCCTAATTAAGGAGCTTATGCGTTGTAATCAGATTAGGAAGCAAACTTTGGAGCAGATTGCTCTTCGGCATGCTTCCGTCTTGGTTACATACACTCTAGGACTCTCAGCCTGCGCAACATCTTCAAGAGGGTGAACAAGTCCCTCCCTGGGTTACGGGCAGATGTGAAGTCTGACACAAAGCAAACCGCAGAACCGATACTTGGATCCTGTTTTTGAATCGCATACATGTCTCTACAACTTCAGTTTCGGTTGCCGCAATCGATTCGTGCATATTGTTGGCTTCTAGCGGCTACAACCTGGGTGTCACATCAAGTCTCCCGACTGAGAAAGCAATTGTTGGAAACGCCATTCTCGCTGCGGTGTTAGCTGCTGCTGCTGCAACTGCATCTGTGACTGCCTGTCTTTTCTCCTCATCCTTGTTTACGATCCTGCTTTTTTGGCTTCATGAACACATTTGGTTACTTTGGCTTGGTGATTGCTGACTGTGTTGGACAACTGAGTCTTGCAACGTTGCATGATAGAGTATCCACCCATCCATCCATCACGGTGGGCTCGTCGTCCTACAAGAGCCTGTATTTATGAGTCTATGACGTCCTTCCGCATCAAGAGCGAAGTTCGATTGGCTGAAGGCTGGCGCTAGGAACAGGTACTATAGGGGCCTTAACAACTACCTATACTATTTTGGGGGGGTTCCTTAATGAAACTATAGTATAATGGGCACCAAAACCCTATTCCAATTCTTAAGGCCCCCTACATTAACCCAGAATCATCCACGCTAAGCGCGGCCGTGCTTCAGGAACAACTTCGCGGGCGTCAATGCGCCACGCTCTCGCTCGGGCTTCAGGTTGCTCTCGGAATCCGTATACCCACTCCACGTGGCAGCCCAGAAAGGTGCTCCGACTAGGGTTTAGACGGTTTAGAGTTTATTGGGTTTAGGGGGTTTAGAGTTTAGGGTTTAGGGTTTATAGCATGTTGGCCGGCTTTCTGCTGTAGTGCTGAGATGCTTAAGAGGCTTCGAAGAAAGCTCGGCCTTTGAGGCTTTGGGGAAGCGAGGCAGGGTAGGATTTGTGTCAGCGCTCGCGAGAGATCCAAACCGCTAGCAACTTGAGGGACACCCTCGGCTGTTGTGCTGCATGTACCAGTGAAAAGCGACAACAATTGTTTGCTTTCCGTTCGATTCCTTGGGCACCCCTGCATAACTTGAAGCTGTCTCCTGTCTTTTTTCCGAGCAGCGTCGGTGTTGACTCAGAGTCCGTTTTCGTGAGGAGAGGGATTTGCTAACTCTGGAATAGCCGTAAAGCAAGCCCCGTCAAAGACAGCAGAACAGCTAAGGAGATGCTCACATGGTACAAGAACTTCTTCGAGAAAGGGCGGATCCCGACAAGAGGACCCCGGGAAGATCACAGGTTTCAGGCTTTGGGGTTTGGGAGTTTTGGGTTTGATTAGGGTTTAGGGTTTAGGGAAGATAAGGGTTTAGGGTTCAGGGCATAAGGGCTTAAGGGTTACATGGTTCGGCAGCGCAGAGTGGTGTGCAATGCCGTGCTCCTGAATCTCTGAAACGGCGAATTCGAAGCGGGTTTTCGATGGCTGTCGGGTTCGGTTGCAGGTTTGTCCGGGTCAGCGATTCAGTTCGCCGAAGGATCAGTTCGGCCTCTCACCGCTTGGCTTCTGCAAGCTCCCCCGCCTTCTCACTCCCGATGTCATTCTCCGCCAACCCCTCCTTACCCTCACCCTCCTTTCCTGGCTCAGTCGGTCTGCTCCTTTCGTGGCCACTTCGGGTATCGACACCTTTCGTGGCACACTCCTTGCAGTCCTTGCGTGACGCCCTCCTTTCGTGGCCACCCTCTTTCGCGGGCCATGTTTTTTTTGGTGATCCTTTCTTTTGCGGCCCATTCCTTTCGTGGCCACCCTCTTTTCGTCCACCACTGAACATCCAAAAGCACTGAGCTCGAAGCAGTATAGGGTTTAGGGTTTAGGGAGGCTGAAGAGAGAAGCCTGCTGCAAAAAAAGGGAGGCTGAAATACGAGTTGCCGGCAAGTCGCAATCTTCCACACAGGACCTCGGCCGGGCGTACGGCGTTGGACATGGCAAATGCAACGAATCAGTTTGGCTCGCACCGTATGGTCTCTTGGCTGAAGTGGGCTGCTGTGTAGTACAGACTGCGTTTTCGCTACAAGCTCATATGTATGCTATTTCAGTTCGTAGCTTAGACAACTTCTTGTTTATCATGTTGTGTCCGTTTATGTTACATTAAATTATCATGATCTCTCGCATTTCAGTATGCTACGTGAAAGTCTCTTATGCGGCGTTAATTTTGTAAGCGAGGGTGTACTAGTGTACAAAATGTTACACTATGCTGTAGTATGAAGACTTTTGTTACAATGAGTTATGCTACCCCGCATAGTGCCGTGCTACGGCATACCATACTATATGGT